ACATAAGTTTGGAATCGACGTCTATTGACTATTATTGGGTTACAATTTGTTCAAAGGATGTTTATACACTTCTTTGAAAGTAACGGATGGGATTGACAATGTTCTAACATGGATTTTTGACTGGCGACGTCCAATCCGGGTTGATGGCAAGGAGAACACACAGAAAAATCACGGGAATGTAGCCGACTTGAGTTGACGATGTTGATCTACAATCTCACATCGGTCCTTTGGTTTTTGGTGGCATCTAATTCTTCTAATGGTGAATAGCTAAGACTGGTTTTTGGTGACGTCCGACTCCTCTGATAGCCAGCAACTATGTGTGGTTGTTGTTATCTCAAACGAAAACTGCTATATTTTGAGTCACGTGTTGGCCCCAAAAAAATGTATGCGTCATTCACGGACCCTGTTAATATCATTCACAGTTATCTGTCAAACAGCGTTTGTTTTGACCAGCGACTATGGAACTGGTTAACATCATTTACACCTATCTGTCAAACAGCGGACCAGGTGGGAGATGGGGGTAGAGGGGAAGGTTCTTTTCTGAGAACTGGCCCTGACTCATCTGGTTATAAAAACAATATATATCTCACAATCTGCATATTTAAGAAATAAAGAAGTTAAGATTCATATGTTTCATCGCAAAAACAAAAGGTACTGAAAATATACTTATAAAATCTGAGGTGAGGGTACAAATATGGGGTTAACGTAACAATATATATAGTGAGCTTGTAATTTTAAAGCAATGAAGGGTTTTTTAATCTGATATTATTTTATTATTATTATAAGTTTTGGGGCAAACATCACTGTGAGTACATACTAAATATGATGTCAGTACTAAAGAGAATGAACTTGAGAACACACTGTTAGTAGGTCCATAAATGGAAAATGACATTTTTCTTTCAGATGTATCAAGAGCATTAACATGACAATTTCCAATCTGACAGAAGAAATGAAAAGGCATGCTGTGCTTGTGGAACCAGCTGCTAACAGTGACTCAGAGGATCGGCTTCCTGAAAGTGACCAGGTCTTTCATGGTGAAGGTCAGGAAGTCTCTTGCAAAAATGTCATCTGTGGCAAAGAGAAAAAATATCAGTTGTTCGGCAGATTCAGAACATTGTCAACAAAAAGTCTGGCAAGTCAATGATAACAATTACAGAACTGCTCAAGTCTATCAGATGTGTGGTGCATGAGGATATTATTTTTTCCCCCAAAATTTAATAAGTGAGGAAGGTGAAAGTATCTGACTAGAGGGCAGGATTAGTCTAGAATTTAGTTTATTTGAAGGAAAGAATGGCAAGTGAAATGAGTTGACGAGGATTTAATTAACAAAACATTCCTTGACTGTGCGATTCGTCAACTGAAGAATGCAAGTAAGGGAGGTAATTACAATAACAAAATGCAGATAAGTATAGTACATTCTCCCCATCCCTTTTTTTTTTTTTTTTTTTTTTTTTTTTTTTTTTCAGTTTATCATACCTCTTTGGCTTATGAATTTCCCATTGGGATCGTCTGGGTATATCAGGAGTTCTTGACATTACCTGAGGGGGAGTAATATTTAGATCACTTGGAGAAGATACAATTTCTGGGTTAACGATAGTTTGTGAATCATTACTATCTACTTCTTTTTCCTTGGGATTTTCATTAGTGGGTGTAGAATCATTTAGAACTTTCTGGATGTTATCATCTATGACATCCCCACTTTGTAATGAGATCTTTGCTGGTGCTAGGTCACTTATAGAGACTGTAGATTCACGACCATTGGTGAATCTCATGTGTGCATATTGGGGGTTTGCTTCGAGTAATTCTACTTCGTCAACCACTGGTTCGTACTTACTGGCTCGGACATGGCGACACAAAAGAACAGGCCCTGGCGTAGATAGCCAAGTAGGTAAGGAGAGACTGCTGGGAGTTCGCCGTTGATAGGAAAAGTCTTTCATGTGGTGTGGCATTAGTAGCGGTACAAAGAAGAGAACTTATAGAGTGTAGTACTTCAGGCAAAACTGTTTCCCACTGCGATTCCTTGAGATTTCTTGAGGCTAGGGCTAATAATGTGTGTTTCCATATAATTCCGTTATACCGTTCACACTGACCGTTTCCTTGGGGGTGATAAGGTGTTGTCCGGCTAGTAGCAATCCCGAGATTGGTGAGATATTCACGCACTTCCTTTGATAAGAAGGATGTACCCCTATCCGAATGGATATAGGATGGCATGCCAAATACTATGAATATTTGATTTAGACTTTGTATTACAGAGTCTGCATTTGTGCTTGTGCATGCGAAAGCAAAAGGGAAACATGAGTATTCGTCTATAACCGTTAGTAGGTAACAGTTTTTCGAAGTTGAAGGAAGGGGCCCCTTAAAGTCAATGTTGAGTCATTCCATTGGTTGTGTTGCTTTGACTAGGCGTCCTGCTTTTGGTGTATAGAAGCGTGGTTTCCATTTAGCACACACTGTACATGCTGCACACACACTCTTAACCTCTTCAATACTTTAACAAAATGAGCCAACCTGGTTATACCCGGATGACAAAGATGTTCATGTATTTCATGCAATCTTCCCATGTTGTTGAGTGCATTGCACTGGGCATGCGAGAGCGTATCAGCTGGAATATTGTTTTTCCCTGGTCGGTACATGATGTCATGCTCATAACACCCTAATTCCATTCTCCATCTTTCGATCTTGCTGTTCTTGATCTTTCCATGCCTTCTTGCATCAAACATGACATTCACAGCTTGTTGATCTGTGACTATCACAAAACATCGGGCTGACAGGTAATGTGACCACTTTTTAACTGACTCTACTATTGCACAAGCCTCCTTTTCTCTTTTTGAAGAATGTTTTTGTTCTGTAGTCGTAAGTGCCACCACTGGACGGTTTGCTTGATTGAAAAAGAATGCCACTGGAGAGGTATCTTTTCGTTTGACTGAGTGCAATTTTTCAATTGAAAATTGAAATGTTTTTAGCTTCTGAATCAAGAGGGAATGAATTAGCTGCTATCGGGGTCTAATTTTGTCAGAGAACTTGGGTATCTTTTAGTAGACTGAGTTTTGTTCGAGCAATAAGTAGCTCTTTTCAAGATTTTTTATCCTTGAAAATTTGATATATGTTTTTATCGATTGTTTGAATCAAGAGGAAAATGAATTGAGAGTGCTATCAAGGGTCTAATTTTTCTAAGTCATCATGAACTTGGGTGATTTTCCACAATGTTGAGTAGTAAGAGAATAATTATTTTCCAATCTTGTCTATTATCCTTGGAAACATGCAAATTCTCACAAAATTGGTAAAAATTGGTAAAGTTTACCGTTAGCTTCAAATGCTGTATAGGGCTTATCCTCTTCTTTTATTGGCATCTGATGATATGCACTCTTCAGATCCAATGAGCTATAAATTTTAAATTTTGATATTTCCTGAGCTAAGTCATCCATTCTTGGTAATGGATAAGCATCTAATCTAGTAAACCTGTTAATTGTTCTACTATAATCGACTACTAGTCTCTTTCTTTGACGTTCATTAGTTACTATTAAGACCTGATCATTTTCTCAATCTCAGTCTGTATGAAAAGTCTGTCACCCTCTCCCCATCTTTTAGATTTAGTTGTAATAAGTTTACAGTCTGGATCAATGTTGGAAAATAAAGATGGTGTGTCCACTAATGCAGAGGGTACACTACAGGAGATAGGATGAGAGATTACCAGATCTTTCTTAGGGCCGCCGAATGCAAAAGATATGGCAGAATGTTGTGACATGAAATCTTGGCCAAGAATAATATCAGAGCAGAGGTTGGGTAGAACTGAAAGTTTTACATCTGGATACCACTCACCTAGAAGGTTCAAGTCCACTGAACACTGTCCTTTGATAGAGGCTTTAAGTGATGATGATGCCATGGATACGTTACCAGCCGCAGGTTTTATATGTAGTCTGTGTTTCCTCACATAACCGAGAGAGATAAAGGATCCTGAGCTCCCTGTATCCATTAGCGCTGTACAGGCGCCATTTTTCCTGACTAACATGTATAATGCAACCTGTTTTAGCGAACCTAAGGAAGCAGATGTAGTATTCGATATCAACATTGTCGCAAGTCTGTGAGAGCATGTTGCAGCAAATGTCATTTTTGGGCTCGAACAACACATTTTTGAGAAATGACCTTTTTTTTTTTACATTTAAAACAAGTAGCATTTCTTGCTGCACACACGCTTCTATTATGACGAGGTCCTCCACAGAAGAAACACGTATACTTGGTGTTAGCTGAAGCTGCACAATAACCATTAATAGGATCCGTTGACTGGACACTGGTACTGGTATTTTCCTGAGAAACTGTATCTACAATTGGTGTTTGTGTATGCTTCTGAATTTTTCTGAGCTGCATGGAGCGCTCTAGCTTGTTCGATGGAAATGCAGTGTTTTGTTTTCGAGTAGCCGTTGTCGAATAATGTTTGAACGTAAACCTGTGATAAATGCATCTCTAACACAGTCGTCGCGGTTTTGAACCGCATCAACAGACTTAAAGTTACATTCTTTCGCTAGTAACTGTAGTCTTTGTACGTATTCGTCGATATTTTCCTCCTCTTTTTGGCCGCAAGTAGCAACTAAATGCCGGGCGAAAACTTCGTTTGGGGGTTTTATGTACAGTTCTTTCAGACGGTTAACAGCAGTATCGAAAGTATTACGCTCAGCAATATATTCATATACATCAGAAGAATTCTGATCAAGATTTTATGAGCACCTAAAGTAGCAAAGCCAAACATGATGACTGTAAGTGCCATTACTCTTGCAGGAATTTGCGATAATGAAGAAGTAAACAGTGATGCAGTAACATTCCCTGACAGAATGCAACTTGACAAGTGTGAAACTTTGACATTATACAGGTCTTTTTCACAATTAGTTCATATCACCTTCCACACGGAGTTCTCATCTACACAATGCTTTCTCTGATATTAATTAATTTTAAAATAATCTGTTAATGAATTTTTTTAATTAGCTTATTTTTTCTTCTTCTTGCAGATGAAAGCAAAGAGGAAAGCAAGGACAGTGAGAAAAAAGAACCTGATGTGAATGAAGTGGTTGAAGTTCGAGACATTGCTGTTGCTGGCTACTTGAATTTGGCAGCAGACTTTGCCCACAATTTTACTGATGGCCTTGCTATTGGAGCTTCTTTCCTTCTTGGTCATAACATTGGTGTCCTCACAACCATTACAATTTTCCTACATGAAATTCCTCATGAAATTGGAGACTTTGCCATTTTGGTTAAGTCTGGCTGTACAAAAAAAAAAAAAACGGGTGAGTCACTATTAATGAATTGGTCTGCTTTGTTAGAATTTTGTGAATTAAATAAACAAATTCTAATAAGTGGTTTTATTTTTGTCAGTTGAAAATTTAAAAAATAATCCTATTCAAATTTCTTAGCTAAAGAACTGTCTTAATTATTTTTAACTACCTTCATTTATTATTATTTATCATTATTTTATACCTGTCACTTTGCAGATGGCAGAATGGTGAAATTTAAATTGTTTGTCCATTTAAGAGACTACATTCCTGTATTAAATTTAAATACAGAAGGCTTATACTTATTTCCTGTTAACCAGGGGTTGTTACCAGACAGAAATAGAAATTAGCTTTTTCAACACTGATGTTTATTTCAATTTAAAATGAAGTTCGAATGAAATGAGAATTGGGGAAAAATGAATCTGAAATAAGCTAAAAGTGAAATTATTTTCAGATTTATTTTGTTTTTGAAAAAAGACAGGTGAGACACAATTGGTGAAGGCTATGCAATCATTCGTTTTATTTTAATAAGTTCAATACAACACTTGTCACTAGTTCAGTGCTTAGAACTTGTTCAGCACTTGTCACTTCACTGACAGTAAGATGATCAAATATCAAATCAAAATTGTTTGTTCAATTAAGAGACAACATTTATTAGAAAATAAATTCAGTTTAAATACAGAAGGTGTTGTAAAAATGACTTCAAAGGGCTTCACATTTTGGCTTATACTCTTTTCCTATTACTTGGTGGTTGTTGCCTGAAAGGAAAATTTGGCATCTTCACACAGTTGTTCATGCTCCATAATAATGTTTTTCTTTTTCTCATATTCTTACACACACACACACACACACAGTAACTCCCTGCATTTTAGTGGCTTTATTGCTTTGCTTAGGATGAAATGATTAAAAGAAAAGTTTCCTTTTGTGACAAAAAAGGTGCACAACACTAGGTCACATTTTTAAGTTTGGTTTTCCAAAAGTTGCCTGATTCCATTATATGCTGGTTCGGTCCTATTCACTTTGCAGATACCAAGATGATCAAATTTCAAAACTGAATTGTTTGTCCATTTAAAATTTTCATGTATAAGAAAATATATTCTAATTAAATACAGGAATCGTAAAAATGTCTTCAAAGGGCCAGACATTTCAGCTTATACTCTTTTTCCTATTACACAGGAGTTGTTGCCAAACAGAAAGCAAATTTTATTCTCATTTAATTCAAATTTTGTGTGTGTGAAGTGATATTCTTATTCAATGATAGCTGTAAAATATTTGTACAAATTAAAAGGAAAAACCTATAATTCTATTTACAAACCAACAATTTCCAAAATGCTTGATAAAATCTTTTATCTGATATTTTTAGGCTTTAAATGTATTTTTTTTCTCCAATTTTCCCAACCCAGGGTAGAAGTTGCCAAGACTGAGTGGAAGGAAATGTATTATTCTAATGTCTTATACATTTTCTTTGAATTTGGAATATGTGTGTGCTTGTATATACATTAAATAGCACAAGCACTTGTGCACAACACACACATATATATATATATATATATATATATATATATATATATATATATAGAAATATACTCAATAGTTGTGCTATATTTATGGGATAAAGTGCTCAATATCAGAGATATTGTGTGTAAATATAAAGGGGAACATTGAAGTCAACACTTAGAGGTGAACCAAATCAATGAACCCAAATAAATAAAGTAAATAATAAACAAATTAACAAACCATTATGACTAAAATATTAGTTAGACTATAAAAATCAAACCAAAAATCGGACAAAAAACATAGCTATAACTGCTGTATAACAATAAAAAAAAAATACTTTGCTTAAAAATCAAAAACCTGAAAAGAGTAAATAAAAATATGCAGTATAATAAATAAATAATAAAAAACAAATAAAATAAATTAATCTTAATTTAAATAAATAAACAAAGTAACAAACCAATTCCAATAAATTAACTGTTAGAAAAAACAAGTAAAGATAATCAGTCCAAATAAATAAATGAAGTAATAAACAAATTAAGAACTGCTCCTGCCAAAATAATAGAATAAACTACAGTAATCAACACCAAAATTGAATAAATAGCCTTATCTTCCCAAACCAAAACAAAACTATTAAATAAGCGATATAAACAAATTTTTACTATGCTAATAAAATGCCGATTAAAATAAATAAATAAATAAATATATAAGAAATAAAAATAAAATAAATAAAAACAAGCAAAATAATTTGATCCAAATAAATAAACAACTTCTGGCAAAATAACTACCAAAATAGACTACCCACAATGCACCACTGACCTGTACATATAAATAGCCGAGTAAAAAACAACACACGTGGCCTGACAGTTGCGTCTAGCATGAAACAGCCTGTCGCCTCTAAGTGTTGACTTCAATGTTCACTTATATATATATATATATATATATATATATATATATATATATAATATAAGCACTATGGTTCCTAAACAGATCAACATCAAATTCATGTATTCTGATCTTGAGAAAGAAAGAACTCTCTGACACACTAGATTTGAGCCTGGATTCAGTTGTGAGCCTCCTGGAAATCTCTGAGATGCCATTTATTCCAGCTCCCTTGAAGTTCTAGGTCTTTCCATAAGGAAGCATCAGGACTGGTTCAATATAAATGATACTCATGTTCAATGTCTCAAGAAGATGCATGATTCACACAAAATATTCTTAAGCAACAAAAATTGTTCAACAGAAAAATCGCATATATAAGCAGTGTAAGTGGGAAGGGCAAAATGCTCTAAGAAAAATGAAAGAATCTTGGTGGTTTGCTAAGGCTGTGGAAATCCAGGCAGCAGCTCACAGAAATGATCCCAAAGCATTCTATAAAGGCCTTAAAAAGGTGTACAGCCAACAAGGCAATGAAGTTTCACCTGTTATGTTGTCTGACAGCAACACACTCCACACAGACAAGAAGGAAATTATATCACAATGGAAAGAACACTTTGAAAGTGTCCTTAATTCCACCTCTGCTATCGATGACATCATTGCTTCAATTCATCAGCAACGAGAAATTTCCCAGTTGTCTCTTGAGCCATGCCTAAAGGAAATTCAGGATTCTATCAAACAATTGTCCTCGAACAAAGCCCCTGGAAAAGATGTTATTCCCTGCAAAATTTTTAAATATGGTGGGAAGATTCTGGTTAAGAAACTCCTTGAGCTTTTTAAAGTCATATGGAAGGTTGGTTCTGTTCCACAGGACTACAAAGATGCTTGCATAAAACATCTGTTCAAGAACAAAGGCAAAAAGGTTGTATGTGATAATTCATTTGGCATTGCACTTCTAAGTATCACTGGCAAAATTCTCGCTTGTGTTATTCTCAGCAGAATAATCAATTATCTCATTGATGACATCTAACCCGATTCTCAGTGTGGTTTTCGTTCAGGTTGTGGAACCATTGATATTTTTTTTCACTTCGTCAGGTTGCTGAGAAAGTTTGTGAGAAGAACCATGATCTCTATACCGTCTTTATCAATCTGACCAAAACATTTGACACTGGTTGTGTCATGGCTCCTGTACTTTTTGCTCTCTTATTTTTGTTCATGCTACACCATGCTTTTAGTGATCTTGACATGGGTGTAAAATTTAAATTCCACACAATTGGTGGCCTCTTTAACCATCAATGTTTTAAATCAAAATCATTGACCCTAGCAAGCATTATTCACGATCTTTTGTTTGCTGATGACGCTGCAATCGTGGCCACCTCAATCAAAGAAGCTCAAGCACTCGTCAGTCGTTTTTCTACTGCTTGCAATGCGTTCGGATTAACTATAATCATAAAGAAAACTGAAGTTGTCCATCAACCAAGGCCTACATCTAAGTAGGTCGTGGGCATAAAACAAAAACCACCTGCCTGTACCTTTCAAATCGTTCCCATTACTGTTGGCAGCAACAACCTGAAGTATGTGAAATCATTTTCATACTTAGAAAGCAAAGTCAATTCAAGTGCTTCTTTGGATGACAAAATAGTTAACCGAATATGAAAAGCAACCAATGCCTTTGAGAAGCTTAAGCATCACCTATGAGATGTTCATGGGATTTCACTGAAAACGAAAATCAGTCTATCGAGCAGTCATTCTTATCACACTCTTCTTTATGGGTCAGAATCATGGACACCATATAGGCCAGACATCAATTAACTTGATGCTTTTCATAAATGCTGTCTTCGTTCAATATGTGGTTATACATAGCAGGACAAAATCTCTAACTGTGATCTTTTCATCTTTTCAAATGTGGTGTCAGTGATATTGAATCCTTTCTGATGCAATCACAGTTCAGATGGGCTGGTCATGTCATCAGAATGAGTGATGATCAGATGCCGAAAATCCTCATGTATAACTAACTTTTTCATCGTAAGCGTAACATAAGCCATCCTTGATTAAGCCTTAAGGATAAACTTAGATACAATTTAATTGCTGCAAACATCCCTATAGAGGAGTTTGAACTTGCTGTTGAAAACCAAGCAAACTGGAGAAATACCTGTTACTGATGTATAACTAACTTTGAAAAGAATTGTCTCAACCATCTGAGAGAATTAACACTAAATCTTAGGCTAATACATCAGCCCATATGAAGGTCAACTCTTCAGTATGCCCTTCATGTGGATTTGTTTGCAAATCCTGTGCAGGAATGTTGTCTCATACGAAACATAAGCATAAAAACTGAACTGAAAGGCACTCATATGTCAAAAACAACAGGAGAATCTATCATATATATATTATATATATATATATATATATATATATATATATATACACACACACACGCATACATATGTGTGTATGTGTTACATACTGACAGATAATCAGTTCTTATGATATAGATTTATTATTTATTTTTGATTAGTAATTTCAACACC